TCAAGATCTTCTCCGCATTGAGCTTCTATATTTCTATAATATTTTGAATGCATAATGCAGCAACTGCGCGTTTCGTGGGCTAGACTAACAAAACATTAAAAAACTACAACGTCACTTACATCATCATCACCGCATCTCGTGCTCCACTGATGACGCACATCTAACATAGGATTGTACTATTTTTGCATTCAAATGCAAATGTTTATTTTAAATTCGACTAATATTCATTTTTTTATTCACAATCTCCTCATCTGAGGCAGGCACAGCACTCAATTCAGCATGTGTTCATGTTTGTGTGTGCTGTCTGCGTCACCCATAGCACGTGCCTATATCGTGCACTATATCAAACATTTTTTATATCGTTATCGAAGAAGGTGTACCGTCGATAAATATCGATACCGTTTTATCGCCCAGGCCTATCACACTATTTAATATTTACTATTACTATTTAGTAAATTTACTATTTAGATAGTAAAAGCATATGCATAATGACTTCTGAAATGTCTGTTTGTTTTTCTTGTCTATATATTTGTATGATTAGTAAATGAATAAATAAATAGGGAAAAAAATAAGATTGTAGAAGACGATCTTAAAGCGCTACTTGCTGGAAGGACCATGTGAAATAATCCCAGAAGGTGCTCTATGGTTGCGTTTGAAGCAACTATTATAAGAAAGGGATCCAAGGAAATTCTTCCAGTCCAAAAAAGTTTAAAAAGCCTTTATTCACATTATGGCCATCACAAAAGAAATCTGTGACATTGGGAGAAATCAAAAGAACCATTACAGGGGGGACCTTTAACCTTGTTAGCCATTACAAAGTATGATAACATAAAAAAATACAAAACAAATAATAATAATAATAGTAAAATAGTAAAAAAAAAATACAATAATAATAAAAATAAAATAATAATAAAAACAACAATCATACTAGTAATGGTTTTACGAAAAGGAAGTAAGTTTAATTCTTTATTCGACCCAGGAAAAATTGCTTTTAACTGAAATGTCCAAAAAGCTTCCCTTTGTAAAAGACTTTGTAGTCTATCATGCTTTCTAATAGATCCAGTTACTGTTTCCAAACCAATGATTTTTAAAGTCGATGGATTAGAATCATGAACCAACGCATAGTGCACTGCCATAGGGTAATCTTTGTTTCTTGTATGAATTCTAATTTTATGATGCCATAATCTGTCTTGCAATCTACGCTTAGTTTCATCCCCACAGAAACAATTACAAGGACATTGAAGCCTATAGATTACATATGTACTTCTACAATTTATAAAGAATCTAATTTAATATATTTTATTTGCACAGACATCTACAAATGATTTAGTTTGAAATTCTTTGTCACAATGATTGCAATGTCCACACTTGAACATCCCTTGCATTCCTCTGTCCAACCATATTGTCCATTTCATAGCAAGCAAATAACTTCTCACAACTTTATCCTTGATCGTGGGAGCCTTTCAGTAGCTCAGAATTGGAGGTTCTTGAAAAACTCACGCAAACTCAGATCACTTTGAATAATCCCCCAGTTCCTATTGATTATACGTTGAATTTCATCTGACACAGTACTATAGTCCATCACAAAATATGGTCATGCTGAGCTGTTCTTCTTGCTTTTCTTTTTCAGTAGGTCGTCCTGTTGTAATTGTGTCATTTTATTCAAAGCCTGATCAACCACTCTTTTTTGTTATTCCCTGTTTAAAACGATCTGTCATATCCCTAGCGAGGTGATTAAAGTCTGAGTCTTGAGCACATATTCGTCTTAAGCCCCGTTCACACCAAGAACGATAACTATAAAGATAACGATATTAGCGTCCACATCAGCGAACGATATTGTCTGTTTATTCTAAGCGCACGCGCGTCTGTTGCTTTAAATTCTCGAGCTCGTTATAGCAGGATGGATTCTGATTGGCTGTCAATGTTTGTATCGTTCATCAGCTGGAAAAAATCGTTCTGAAAGTGATTCCAACGATATCGTTTCTCTGTGCCTTTTTCGTTATAGTTGTGGTGTGGACTCTTCTACTCTATTCTTTAATACTGAGAACGATTTTTAGAGCTATATCTTTATCGTTATCTTTATAGTTATCGTCCTTGGTGTGAACGGGCCTTTAGTCTTTGAAATTGGCCCAGTGGAATGCTTTCCATTTATTTATATTAAAAAATACATCTGTAAAATAAACTTTTATTTAGACGGTAACTTGGTTCTCTAATCCTATTTTTTTATTTTTCACAAAGAAATTGTTAAAAAAATAAAAAATAAAGTAAACACTGTAAACAACAGTGAACTCAGGGATCTTGTAAGCCTGTGAAATGGGATGGAGAATGGGGACTCTGCGCTCAGGAACTGGCATTCTAAGTGTTGTCAAAATAAAAGTCTCACATACTGTCAAAATAGAAGTCCTAAACATCAGCCAAACAGAAAAACTTATCAGCCAATGTCGATAATGAAAAAAAAAAAATCCCAAATCAACTGATATATCAGTCAACTACTGATGAATAATTAATGTCTTAAATTGTTGTTAAATTGTACTTTATATTTATGTAATTTATTTGTTTGACTGCAAACTATTTAGTGCATGTATCATAACCCAAAAGATGACCATTCCAAGATGGCGATGCTGTAGACGCATAGGGATCAAAGTTCTGTTCACATGTTAATATCTAGCTCCTAATTAGTTCCACTTTTTCTGTCCTACAGGCAGAGGAACAACTACGAATAGTTGAAGAGCAAAGGAAAATACACGAGGAGCGTATGAAGTTGGAGCAAGAGCGACAGAAACAGCAGAAAGAAGAACAGAAGATAATTTTGGGGAAAGGGAAGTCGAGGCCTAAACTTTCTTTCTCTTTAAAGGCCTCTGAGTGATGAAAACAATGTGGCCAGGATTTGTCCAGACTTTCTCCAGACCACCTCTTCGTGTGAGACATTGTGCTGCAGCACAAGGTCTTCTTCGTAGGTCTCATGTGGTGTGTTTCAAATTCTCAGAACAACGGGAACAATCAGATTTGTCAGATACCCTTCATATTTTTCCTGTTTTGTATTACTGACTCTTGTATAGATAACCTCCACTTGTCCTCCATGTAATCTCTGCAAACGCATTCGGTGCATTGTACGAGTAGGGTAAAAAAGGACCAGCCTGATCTGCTCGTTCATCCAAATGGTTTCCAGTTTCACTAATTCAAGGCCTCAACAGATTTCCTGGCTGATTTGATTGAATTATTTTTATTTTTTTAAATAGTTTATTCATAGTATAAAATAATTAGAAGGAAAGATTGACAGGGAAACTGCTTGAACTGGAATTCCATCCCTCTATTTTGAATAGCACAGACCACTATGAGTTAACTGGTAACCAGTCCAACCAAGAAGCATCATAAAACGAGAATAACCTCCTTTTATCATTTTTACTTACACGTTAATAATTGAACATTCAAGAGGTAAAGTGATGCTGTAATAAAGGGTACCTGGTCGTTGCATGTCAGTGAGCTGCGTATATGTTAGTGATGAGATGCTTTTAGAGGTGATCGAGTGAAAGGTTGCTGATTGGCCAGAATTTGTGTTTGTGGTTGAATATTTGACCCAATAAATCCATGAATGTGTCTTGTTTCTGACGTTTGCTTGCATATTTGTATTAACTTGTGTAGTTTTTAGGATTAGATTAAGCACAATTATACATAAAAAAATCAAGTATTTAAAATCAAATAGGAATAATATGCATTCGAGATGTTTTGTCTGTCACAAAAGCTAGTTGTAAGAATCTGGAAAGCATGGGACGAACAATTCAAAGTGGGTTAAAGTTTTGAGGGCAGGATGTCATCATCACCTAATGCTTTAAATCCGCAGCCTAATTAATAGTTTGCTTGACACCTCTGTTAGGTCGGCACAAGCCCAGAGCGCAAATACACAAAGGATTCAAGGCAGACCAGACGATGAAAGTGCAAACACATCACACCTTAACACCGACTGACATTCAATTATCTCTTACCTGTTAGTTTTTCCTTTTGATTATTGGCCAAACACGCGAAAGACAATAAACAAAAGTTGCCTGAGCCATTTCAGTGACTTCTTTTATCTATATGTATTCTGTAAGGTAATAGCTATAATTTTGAGAAAGCATATTTTTTCCAAAACGTTAAACGGGTGACGAAACAACCCACACCCGTGTGAGTAATACAGATTTGTAAGATTTTTGAGCTTTAACGTTACGTGACTAAGCGGATTAATCTCGTTGAAATGCCTTTACTACAAGCTTCCATACGGGTTTAGGTTAAAATAAAAGATTAGTTATATGATTTCAAACACATGTAGGCCTAAGTTATAGATTATTTAGCCTGTATATAGGCTACATACCGATATTTAAGTACAAAATGTATCCAGAAGTTAAAATATCGCCGTGTTTACGTATTCCAGCAGTTTCCAGTCTTTGTGTCAATCTTTTTTAGACTTAAAACTCCGCTAAATTGTACACACACACATATATATATATATATATATATATATATATATAAATTAATTTTAATATAACGTAACTTGTTTTAAATGGAGTTCACTGAGGCCCTCTAGTGGGTTGCGGCCTTCCGGTTGAAAACCACTGTATTGAAAAAAATGTAGACGCCACTTTGCGCCTCAGGTAAACTCAGGTGGTAGCCTAATGTTTAATAAAGCAGTGCCGCTTCCAGACTCCTGTTTAGTCTCCTTCAATTCGACTAGGTGTCACTCATTCAGCGTCACCCAATCGAGAGTAATGTGGGCGGGGTCTAACGTCAACACTGGGTTGTCCTAAGAAGTCTCTGAGCACGTCTTGAGGGCACTCCAAGACTGGCAGAGTTGAATGCAAAGACGAAGAACAGAGAAGCACTGATACTGCCTTTAGATTAGACCTCAGCAACATCCTTTCCACGGAACCTGCACTATTTAACTGTTTTCTCTGCGTTCGTAAGAATATTCATAGGCACTGTTTCCCAAAGGATGCGCAATTAAAACATTTTAATGTCTAAAGAACCTGATGGATTATCAAACAACGTTTTGTTAAAATGGTCCTTTAGAGTGCCAGTTTATTTTAGGAGGTCTTGGCAAATAGATGGTTTTTTTTCCCGTTTCGAAATCAAACGCGTTTTCAGCAGATGAGAACGACCAGCAGCATCGGATTCTTCTCGTGTTAGTACCTGTGGATCTCTGTTATAATCAAATTTGGACTGGTGAACTGTTTTGCATCGCAATGGATACAACTATGTGGAGTTATATATTAGGTCTTTTCATGGTTGCTTGTCGAGTAAAACTGGCTCGATCAACAGTTTTAGAATCAATATATTGGAATACTTCAAACACCAAGTAAGTACACTTAAAATTAAAGCTTAACGAAAAAGCGTTGTATGGCAAGCAGCTTTAACATTTATTCTATTTTTTTTTTTACTAGTGGTTATTTTTAATTATTAGTAAGTAGCCTGTGACTAGTTTCTATCTCTATACAGTGAATATTTATTCCAAAAATGACTGATCTATAAATCAGTCACTTGTAATTCATCATTCAATAGCCTACTTTAATAGCCTTTACTGTCCGAGTAGTGACACGTAACTCTTCCATTGTAACTGATAACAAATTGCAAAATATTTTGCCATTGAATTACATGGGGATCTGTGGTTCAGTGTAACTGTATTAGTCATTGTTCCAGTTGTACTATACTAATACCCTTTTCTGACACTAGTGTCTATTCCAGTTAGTCCACTAGTTTCCAGTAGTTTTTTCTTGTCATAATTACTAGTTGGAATGGCTTAATTATCGTTCATACTAGAAAAATTAAAAATGTTACTAGTACAAATTGGAATATGCACTATTGTTTAATAAACAAGTAAACTCGGACAAGGAAACCATTATGCTGATTGGTAGGAATGACCCTATAAACGTAACATGATTTTTTTATTCTAAGTACCACACAGACACCTCAAAAAACAAAAACAGCCTACTTGAGTGTTATGAAGGTGTAGCAAAGAACCATTCATTGTTTTAAATGTATCTGTAAGTTCACTTTCTTTTACAGTTTTAATTTGCTGATTTCTCTATTGATTTTATTACCCTGTCATAGTCATTTAAACACAAGACAGCCCACTAAACATATTCGTAATCCTTGCCACTTTGTTGAAGGACCACCCACCTTTCCAGACGGCAGGGTATTAGTTACAATGATGCTTTATTGACAGCAACATTGAGATGCAAGTACTTTCATTTGCAGAATGAAGCTGAACGGCGACCACTGTATAAACTGTTTCCAAAACGAACTTCCACCTCATAGCCATTCCCACTATTTGTAAATGTTAATTTACATAATCTAAGCAATTACCCTGTGTGTGCCCTGTAAAAAACTGCAGGTAAATGCAATGTTTTGTAGAAATTATATGGTGAGGTTGACATGTCTTGCAAAATCCATGTACCCTGGTATTTACCAAGGAAAAGTTGCAGAATGAATCAGCAATCAAACTTGTGGAGACCTTACATCATGGTTAATATCGTGTAAGAGTGCTGAGCCACAGCCTAAATTTAGGACTGATTATAAGCTGAGAAATGTTAAATTGAAGAGTGGATTAGAGCCTCTCACTGATTGCCATAGAGAGATCTGTTGCCTGAGCTCCTTTTTTCCACTGTGAAGTGTGTCTCCGAGGTCTGTACATCTGTTCCCCACCACACCTTTCTGCGTCGGGACAAATAGTTGCTAAACTAGGGTAAGTGCTACTTTTTGAGATCGAAACACCCAGCCTGGTGTTTTCTCAGCTGCCAAAGTAGTACACACTCTCTTCCTGCCATAGTGTGGTCTTGCCATTTGGTCAACGTACCTGAAGAAATGTTCTTAAAATTTATATTTATGAAGCATTTTCACCAAAAATGCACTTAAATTTCCCATTTTGTTTTTTTTATTCCACAATCTGGCCACTCAAGTGAAACTGGTCGATTTGGTGGCTGTTTCTTCACAGCGGTGAACCTGTATTCAAATAGATCAGTTTTGTTTGGATGCAGGATAACGTTCTTTTAAGATGCTAAGCTGTAGTGTAGCGGGGCTTTGCCGCAGGTTGTAATCGGTTTTCATGAGTTCCAGTAGCTCAGTGGGTCATCTTTGTCCCAGAGCTTTGGAGACAAAAGGTGCGCCGGGATGAAGGCACAGTTCAACCCCCATCCCGGTTTGAGCCACACAGAAGTTGGTACTGCAGGGGGCGGAGGAGGGGCACTAAAGCTTCCTGTCTTCTCAGGACCCCCAGTAGAAGCTAGAGGGTCCCTTTCTTTCCAGCTCTTAATGACTTTATGAGGATGGAAGCTAGTCTTAGAAAGTGACTCTTTTATTCTGCCTTATGGTGTTTAGGGAAGCATGGGAGAGAATGAGACCATGTCTAACTTTGTCATGGCAGATTTAGAAAATAAAGTACAAATCCAGTGCACACATTGGCCTGTTTACAATAGAATTTGTGTGTTTGTCCTTGTAGTGAGGTTGTATTAAACATCAAGGGCAGGAAAGGACTGCCAGCAAGCGGTCAGGAGTGAGCGATTGTTAATTGTGCAAATGCATTACAGAGCAGAGAAATATGTAATAGGGAAAAACATAAGACTGCAAAGTTGCATACATTAGTCAAAAAATGTGTAAGTAAGCCAAGGTCCCAAATGCTTTAGTTGCATTTGCATTCTGCTTCAAGACAGAACTCTGAAAATTAGCCAAAGGAAACTGCTTGTCTCAATCCATTGCGTTGAGTTGCTTGTTTTAGATTAAATGGAGGGTGGCAACCATGGGTCGAATGCACTTTGAAAAAAAGTCTCATTTTTTATAATAAAAGTAAATGGGGGTCCAAAAACTGTTGCAACATTCAAAATGTCATCTTTTGTTTTACTCAGAAGAAAACTAAATCATACAGGATTGGATCTAGAATTGACTCTTAAAAGACATTAATAAAGCCAATGACCAGTTGGTTAATTCAATTACCTGAAGAAACAACTAGCTTAAAATAATTAATAGTTTTGCTGTAAGGATACATTTATCAGATACCCAAACATAATACATTTTACATAAACTTTAAGGTTCTCATGCCGAATTAATAAACTATAGAGAATTTATTCATTATTATGCATGCTAATCAGTATGTTCTTCCCATCTCTGTAACTCTATAAGATGTTTAACATCGCAGTGTTCCCTACAGGTTTGTCCCAGGAAGGGGTGTAGTACTATACCCTCAGATCGGAGACAAAATGGACATTGTGTGTCCAAGAATCAAGCCAGGCTCCACTGAGCAGACGAACATTGAATACTTCCGGGTCTATCTTGTTCCCAAAGAACAACTTGAGACCTGTCGAGTCACTAAGGGCGACATGTTACTGCTCAACTGTGACAAGCCAGACCAGGACGTGAAGTTCACCTTCAAGTTTCAAGAGTTCAGCCCCAACCTGTGGGGCCTGGAGTTCTACAAAGGAAAGGACTATCACATCATCTGTAAGTTTATTGCCATGCTTACTCAAGAATTTACCTCAGGTGCTGATTCATGATCGTTTTTCACCTCCGTTGGCAGCTGTAACACTGTGTAGAAGGAGCCAAATGCAGAACTGATCCCACCCGTGGGAATTTCAGCCTCCGGCATTGTCTCCCAAGATATCTTTTCCGTGTCTTCGTCTGGGAAGGCGACTGACTAGTGTAGCCCTCCAAAAATAGTGAACAAATCAAGTTTATAGTTAATGGAAATGTGTTAAATCCATTAGCAAGTGTGTTTACCACACAAGATGTCTTTGTTATAGACAAAGATATCATTAATCATTATATTGTTTAGCTTGCATCATTTTTTTATGTTTTTAAAAATGTAGTTTTTCCCAAGCCTATTTTTGTCCTCTTCCCCTCCGGGGATGGAAACGTCACAAGTGTTCAGTGTTCTCTGGGAAGGAAGACTTGTTGATGGCCCTTTACATGGATGTCATTAGTATCAATCGACCACATCGAAAAAGGGGTTATCGTTCAGTTTAGCGTGTGTTGATCTCAGCCCCTATTCAGTTGGCACATTCCTTAATGGCCATTTATGTGATTTTAAGATTTACACGCTCCAAATCCCTCAATCCTTTGCCAGTATGAGACGGATCGGTTTGATGTGATTTTTCAAGGCAGCTTGGCCTGCAGCCCGAGGGACATGGATATCTGACCTAAATGATTCTAAAGAGACTTACCTCTGTGTCTGCGTGTGTGTGTGCGCCTTGTGTGCATGTAAATGTCAGAACGTGTGCATGTAACTGTGATGTGTGTGAGAGTTGACTAAATGAGAGGAAGAAAACTTTTTTTAGGCATGTTGGAAAGACTTGGCGTACAATGCCGTTCAAAAGTTTGGGTTCAGTATGATTTTTTTATTTTAATTCAGCAAAGGGTGCATTTAATTGATTGAAGACATTAGACGTTGATTAGAAGACATTTATAATGTTACACAAGATTTCTATTTCAAATAAACGCTGTTCCTATGAACTTTCTATTTTATTCTAACTTCTATTTTTTTAGAATCCTAAAAAAAATGATCACAGCTTATACAACCTTAGCAAGTTTTCAACACTGATAATAATAATAAATATATCTTGAGCAACAAATCAGCATATTAGAATGATATCTGAAGGATCACGTGACACTGACGACTAGAATAATGATGCTAAAAATTCAGATTTGCATCACATGAATAAATTACATTTTAAAATATACTAAAAATAAAAACGGTTATTTTAAATTGTAACAAATTTTTTAAATAGTACTGTTTTTATTGTATTTTTGATTAAATAAATGCAGCTTCGGTGAGCATAAAATCATACCAACCCTAAACTTTCGAATGGTAGGTTTTGTTTTGTTTTTTGCTCATTAACAAATTACTAGAATTTCAGTTTATTTAATATTTCTATATATAATATAATATATAATATTTCTTTTAATGAATTGATTTTTGATACAGTAAGTTAAGAAAAATAGTAACAAAAGTTATAATAATTAAAAGAAATAATGTTTATTTCTAACATATTTTACTGTATAGATTTAACTAGAGGAAAGTAGGAGTATATTAAAAATAGGAGGTTTAATTGCATTTATATGTTTGTGTCAGATAAACATGTTGTGTGTGTGTGTGTGTGTGTGTGTTTCAGATAAACACGTTGAGTGTGTGTGTATATCATATCAGCCAATAAAAATGACAAAATTAGGAGCAACCATTAAATACCTGCGCAATCAGTACAAGACATCGTCATGTCCTGCTGCAACTGCAACTTCCAACAAATAATTAGCATTTCTTCTAGACATACAGACAGGATATGTTTCTATGTGGATGTGTGGTTAAAATATGATCACTAGGATAGTTAGGTCTCTTAATGTCTGCGAAAATCTAAAAATAACCTGCAGAAACCATAACATCTGCTTGGATACACTTGCTTTATTGTATGCGCGCAACTTCAATTTTCCACCTCCACTTTGTTGCTCGGTCGCTGGCTTCGTGACTGTCTGAGCTGCGCTGGCCCGAGGCGCTGAATGTGCTTGTTGTGGTTAGGAAATGAGCGGGCTTCATTCAAGCCGAAGAGTCGGGTCACATCTAGAGCGGCCGCTGCAGATGAATGTGGGAACGGTTGTAGAGAACTGGGACATGTTGGGTAAAAGCGCTCTCTTCTCCCCCTCTGTTTTTCTCTCCTTAGCTCTTTGGTTGGCTTTCTCTGCCCACCCCCCATTCTCTTGCCCTTTCACTCTCTGGTCACTCGGTTCTTTCTGTGCCCTAAGCAGTTTGGAGGGGAAGTCCATTTGTTCATGTGGGATTGGTCTTAATCCTCGCAGTGAAAGAGAGATTACGGCCCAATGGAATTCTTTAGCTCCGCTATCAGAGGACACAGCATGGGTGCGCAGGCACAATGGCATTTAAATCGTTCGACCAAGCCACTCCACTAGCCGTGGATTGACGGCCAAAGCAAATCCTTGATATTCTGTGATAATGATGTGAAAAGGCTTCGGTAATATGCTTAGTTTCTGTAAAGTTCAAACCTGTGTGATTACACTGCGGTTATTACTCACAGTATGAGGGGTTTCTAAATTAGCGTGCACGTGAGTGCGTCCGCGCCCCTCGTAAGGATTTACTGGCAAACAAACAGAAGCTTTTAAGAAGCTTTGGCGTGCCGCAAAAGTGAGATTTTCTCATTGTACGAGCAAGCTGAACCTTCACCTTCTGCGTACGCATGCATAGTGACTGATGAACACATGACTCAAATGTCCGCAAGGAACACTTGAAAGGTTTTAGAGCACCTGTGAGGACGCATGCGGAAAGCTGACCCGGTCATAAACTAGCTCACTTAGTGCTGCTAAAACTTATATGGCCAAATACATACAGAGGACTGGAAGAGAAATGGGCCTCGAGAGGAAAGAATAATTCGGTGGCATGTTGAAGTTTTTAAGATGGATGATGGGCTTTAAATATTCAACATCAGAGATGTAGACTACTAAATGTTGGATGGATTAATCTCACAAAAAAAATAAATAAATAATCCCAGAATTTATATTGCTTTAGAAAACTGAACTGAAAAGGTCCTTGTAACACCGTTCGTAGGTTGGGAAGAAGGAGACGGGAACCGGCGAACATTTAAACAAAACTTTAATCAAATAAGCAAACACAAAATAGCGTAACAGCCCCTCGCGGACGACTGTCGCGCACAAACAAAACCAAAACACAAAATAAAATCCAGGCCTGGTCCTCTCTCGTCCAACACTGTCGTCACTCCTCCTTTTATGCTTTCGGAGCGCCTCCGTGGGACTCGAGACCGGTGAGTGGTGCAGGTGTCGTGCATTAGCATTTACTCCACCGGCCTCGCTCAGTTCCCATGGCTCTCAGCCCCGCCCCCACTGGTCACAGTCCTATTTTTCTTTTTTTTTATATTGCTTTGAAATTGCTTTGATTGTGGATGTTTCACTATTAAGATGTAGTTCTCATTGTTCTCAAAGTTGATTCTTATTAGATTCACATTATTTTGTAATAATCGGCATAATGCTGATGCAAAATAAAAATGATTAAGAACATTTTATTACTGCAATTTTTACTGTATTACAGCAGCAATGCAGCAAATTAGGTGTTTATAATTTCCACATTTTAATGAATTATAATATGTAATTACTACAGTTAAATACTCAATATACTTTTTGTTGCATTCTAGAAATGAAAATGAAATTTTGCATGATTTTTATAGTGAGAATTGTTTTGCTTAATTATCATATAAATATAATGTATGGAAGCCTGTTTCTGCCACTGAATAAAAAAAATAAAAAAGGTAATTGTGACTTTTTGTCTTACCATTTTGACTGTTTTCTCATAGTTGCGAGTTTAAATCTCACAATTCTGAGAAAAAAAAAGTCCGAATTGCACGAAAAGTCAAAATTGCGAGATACAAACTCGCATTTGCAAGAAAAAAGTCCTTGTGACTTTTTGTCTTACCATTTTGACTGTTTTCTCATAGTTGCGAGTTTAAATCTCACAATTCTGAGAAAAAAAAGTCCGAATTGCACGAAAAGTCAAAATTGCGAGATACAAACTCGCATTTGCAAGAAAAAAGTCAGAATTGGGAGTTTTTATCTCGCAATTCTGATTTAATTTCTCACAATTGCGAGTTTATATCCCACTATTCTGACTTTATAACTCGGAATTGTGAGTTTATATCTTGCGATTCTCAGAAAATTCAGAATTGCGAGAAAAAAATTTGAATTGTGAGATTAAAACTTGCAATTACCTTTCTCAGTGGCAGAAATGGCCTTCCATACATAATATTGTCACATTGCTTTCATTAGGAAAAATGTGGTCCAGACATGTTCTTCACACGTTTTGTGTGATGTTATCATATATATATTTTTTTTTCTTCCATCTTTCAGCCACATCAAACAGCACTTTTGAAGGTTTGGACAACCACGACGGCGGTGTTTGTAAGACCAAATCTATGAAGCTGGTCCTGCGAGTTGGACAGAGTGAGTAGCACCCATACCTACACCTGCATCGATGAAGATCACTGCTTCCATTACAGTCTTTCATGTCACTGGTCTTGTAGTGTCTTGTAGTGTCCATGCTAGTGTGCCTCAGCGTGTAATTGAAATGTCATGTGAGCTTGTTTCCTGTGGCGATGCCAGCTGTCCCTTCTTTGGGCTTGTGGGGAGATACTTGCAGCTTTACGCCAATTCATTAAATTCTCTCTCAAAACCTGGGGCATAATGCCTAGAAGCAAAAAATATGTAAGGGTGGTCCGATATTATGATCAGTTTTCCAATTCGCTGAACATTTTGTACTGCTTTGCTCCACTAGTAATTTCAGTTGCTGTCTGTTAATATTTAATTCTCTATTTTTTTTTTAGGTCCTACAGATTCATTCTCAGCAAAAAACTATCCAACTAGATATCCTCCAAAATACCCTGACAGTAAGGACCAAAACACCTTCAGCAAAGAAACCGATGCTGTCAACAGAGTTGGTAAGTATTGATGTATACAAAGGTAAATCTCACTAAATGTCATAAATTATGAAATAATTATTAAACGTAATTATTATTGAACATATTTAATACAGTAAACGATATTTTAGATTATAATATACAATATATTAGAGCATAAAATGCAATAATAATTAATAAATTACTAAAATAATAAAATATAAATATAAAAAGTCATGCATCATAAAAATCCAATTTCACCCCAAAACTGAAATCTAAATAAATAAATGGAATAATAAATAATTAAATATGATATAAAATACAATATATAATGTTATACTATAATCACCTCAATACTATAATAATTAATTAATCAATTAAATATGCTTGATATATCTCAGATGTCAAAATGTTACAAATTTTTACACCGCAGATTTGGATTTATTATATACTAGTCAACATTTGAAGTGGATCAAAACCTTTCATCAAAGTTGTCATAAAACCTAAAACCAAAATGTGTTCTTGTCTTAGGACAACTTTGATCAACGTTTTTGATCCACTTCAAATGTTGACTACTGTAGTTAGGTTAAATATGGTTTGAAAACCTTGAAAAGTTTAAATCCTTTTGTGTGTGTGTGAGAAAAAAATGTAAAATAACTACATTTTTTGGATATGTATCACAGGTTCAGATTTATGTACAAAATAAATAAAAACAATTAAATGTTGCCAGTTTAACATGGGCATGCATATCCTATTGATTTACATGTATAAAGCTGGATATTTTACTTTCACAATCATTGTGTTTGAATCCAACAAACAATAAACTATATCTGATCATGAACTCCCCATTCTTTCTCGTTCCCCAGACCCCATGCAGAATGGTGAGTCCGGAGGCAAGAGCGGAGAGTCTGTAGGATCTGCTGGATCTGAAGTAGCCCTGTTTGCTGGTGTTGCATCTGGTGCTGTCATCTTCATCATCATCATCATCGCTCTGGTAGCACTGCTGCATCGGCGTCATCAGAAACACTCCGCGCAGTGCTCCGCCCAGCTGCCATTAAACACGCTGCCCAAACGCGGAAGTGCTGCCAGTGGCGGCAGCAACAATAACGGCTCTGAGCCGAGTGACATCATCTTTCCGCTGCGCACCTCAGGAAGCATGTACTGCCCGCACTACGAGAAGGTCAGCGGTGACTACGGCCACCCTGTCTATATCGTCCAAGAAATGCCACCACAAAATCCTGCAAACATTTACTACAAAGTTTGACAGAGAATGGACAACAAGCCACGGACACGGAAAAGCCGACCGGCTCTGTTTCAAATGATGGACATCAGCGTTTTGATGCCTCTCTGACGCTCAGATGCTTGTTGCAGATGTTTTAGCTCTATTAGCTGGATGCTAGAAGGGCTGAAGTGTTGTCTAATTCAGAAGAACTTGGCTTTGAGACTTGATTCTGGATTAGATGATGGTGCACATGGGAATTTGCTCTTCTGTTTATACTTTAAAGCTGGATGACTTTCAAAGCCTAGAACAATCTTACAGATGAACATGCAGTGAATGCTGCAAAGTCATGCTGAATAAACATCTCATGTGAAGGATCTGAGAATACCAACTGATTTTTTTTTTTATTTATTCCTTTTTTTTTATTTATTCCTTTTTTTTTGTTTCTAAACTCCCAGATCTTAATTCATGCACGAGAAGAGGCCTTTATTCCTGTACTTTGCAATTCTTCAATGTATTTGAGTCCATCCGATGCAATTTAAGCTGATGCACTTAACTGTTTGCATCCCAAAGCTGGCCTGATGGATGCATATTACATGTCATTTCAGACATTTGTAGCCCTTATGCTGTTAACGTGCAAGCCGTTAAAAGGTTAGTTCACCTAAAAATGAAAATTCAGTCATCAGTTACTCACCTTTATGTCATTCAAAACCTATAAGTTTCATTCATTTTCGAGAAACAAATGAAGGTATTTTTAACAAAACCTGACAGATTTCTGTCCCTCATCCAAAACGCTGGCGCTTCAAAGAGCTTGTAAAAGAAAAAAATATGAATCAAGTGATTCTGAAGAGGCACTGAAGATCACTTTAAATGATGAACAGATTTTATTTAAGGCTTACCAAAACAAAGTTACTGGGTTAATCTTTTTCACATTTCCTTGGTTGGTAGATGCACCGGGGACCTGATTATAGCACTTAAAACCTGGAAAAGTCAGATTTTCATGATATGTCACCTTTAAGCTTTTATTCACATATTAAACACTGATCAACGCACATACATAGCGCACAACTCAAAAATGTGTTTAATAAAAGACAACATGAGGGTGAATAAATATGACAATTTTCATTTTTGGGTAACTATGCCTTTAATAACCCGTATCAATCAAGCTCAAATTTGTAGCAATGTTTCTTGACTTTATTCTGAAGAACCTGTGAGGAAATTAAAACTAGCAGCCCAATATTCTGCCATCTGCTCCTACACCAAAGTATGGATATCTTGAGAGTTTTTGTTCCACGCTCTTTACCTAAAAACTACTTACAATGAGTGAAATACATCATCCGCAACACACAATGCATCATTAAATCAGAGAGAGCACAGCTGAGTCGCATATCCGGAAGAAAGCACACATCTGGACTAGAAATGACAAAAGACCTTTTTTAGTTGCCCCAAACATTTACAGCTGGTTAAAAATCAGGAACAATTACTCAGAGACCACAATGCCTTATGCCATATTGAATAACTTTTGGAGACGTGGTTGATTGTGCGCCTTTTTGTTAATGTCTGTGAGTCAGAATTCACAGGAAATGGGAAACTTTTTGGGAAAAATCAAGATATCATCATGTGGCAGGCACATTTCCTCCCCACCAATGCGTGTAGGATGAAATAAATGGCCAGTGAGGGAAAATGGAGGTGCTGGAGGGGAGGTAGTGGGGGAAGGGAGACACATCTGTCATGCAGGGTGAGAAAAGAAAAGGGAGGAAAAGGCCTCAAGTATGTTTTTACTCCAAAGGAGAGCTATAGATCATTTCGGACCTGTCACAAAAGCTCTGTTTGAATACACTACTGTACACAAGTTTGAATTCCTTAAACGACATGAGGTCGCTCGACCTGTATTAGACTAAATCGAGGTGCTCACTTAGACTCAAGATGTCTAGTAGACCTGACCTAACAATGGGCTACGAAAACATGTCCGTATAGTATTTTCATTATAAGACGTTATCGCTAATCTATAAATGTATCATTACTCTCTTGAAAGTTCCAAACCTGTATGACTTTCTTTCTTCTGTGGAACACAAACGAAGACTGACATTTTGAAAAATGTCATACAGGTTTGGAAAAACATGAGTACAGGAGATACACACTGTAAGATGTTACATCATTACAAAAATCACTGTATTTCCACATTTGCTTCCACAATTTTCCCACAATTGGATGTCCAGTTTATTATAAATTTGGTTAAACCAACTTTCACTTTTTAATGTTAGGAAATGATGACAGAATTAAATTTTGTTTTTGTGAACTTTAATGAGTTCAAATATTGGTCAATAACTAATATTTCAATAACTAATTCAATAACTAATATTGATTTAGTGCACACAGTGCTCAACCTAACCATTTTCCTGGGCCAATTTGGAAAATAAATAAATAAATACATAAGGTGGAGGGAGGAAATAATAAGATATCAAGGCCACAAACTATAAATGAATTCCCAAAACGTACTTGTTTTAGGTAAATCGTGGCCCTATTGTAGAACTTAATTCCCTCGTTGCACTAATTCTTAGGTTTTATTTAGCTAAATCATGGCCACGTTAGGATCATGGAACAAATTAGTACAAAGTGGTCACAGCTGACCTAAAACGAGAAACAAATGAGTAAAATGTGGCCACAATTTAAGTACATTTAAATAGGGAACGAGTTAATAAAATGTTGCCATGAATTAAGAAGTCGTGGCAATTAATTCTTAATTCTTAATCTATTCTTTTTTTCTGCGTGTCTGGGCTCCCTGCAGAAACATATCCAGACTTTTTATATATATGAAGTGCCATTCCAAATGCAATATTCCGATATTAAATTGGAAGCAATAAGTTGCGAGTAAATGGCGAACACAAAAGACAAAACGCAACCACTCAGATCTGCAGACAAACTGCCTGCGGATGAAGCCTTCAAAGTTACCCGAAATTTCAGTGTGTCTCTCAACTCCATATATCATCCTCCTTACGTTCAAGTGACAGGGAAAGTGGAGGAAAGATTAAGGGTTTGCGCACCAAGGAATGTTAAGTGTGGTTGAAGCATGTGTGCTGAGTATAGACTAGCGCACGTTCAAGGCCAAATGGTTTGGAAACAATTAAAGTAATGGAGAAGAAAAAGACGGAACGCCTCCTCTGTCTATCGCCCCCCACCATCCTCACCCAAGCAGATGACTAACAGTCCCACCGAGCCCCAGTGTCACCTTTTTGATTGTGCCTTTATATCATTTCTGACTTTCTAGCGCCTAGTGACACTGCTGGCACAGCTTGGTGCATCCCACAACTTCAAGGTTTAATAAAGGGTGTGAAAACATTTTAAAAACACGTCCATTCTCTAGCTCAACTACACTTGATGCACAGGGCACGGGGTTAAAAACTCGATTAAATCTGGCCGCCTTTCCAGCACGTCATACCAATGGACTCAAGGTAAAAAAAAAATCGGTCTTCCTTCAAGGAGTCTTGCGCATACAGGTTATACAGCAGCATGCACCGCAACCAGTGTTAAAATTGCAAATGCTTCTACATTTGTTCCACCACCCAGTAAAAGCAAACCCACATTCAGCTGAAAGGAACGCACATTGACAGCCAGATGTGCTGTCTGTCGTCTATTTGGCTCTAGAAAGACTTTGGCCCAAGGGTGTGGAGTTCCCCTTCTGTTAAAGCTGTGATGTGACATCCCTGTCTGGAGGCCTTTTTTCACATTTTAAGTATCTGCCGCATCATTCACGGTGTCTGTAATTTAGTCTTTGTAAAGTTAGTCAAAGCACCGAATTCAAAACGTGACTCAATGAAAGCAGTTTGAAAGAGATGTAGACATCATTCTAGGGAAACAATTAGTGTTCAACCCCTCGAAGCTGAACCTTGACCTCGTAACCCGCAAGGGACATTCACAAAACAGGGATTAGAAAGCCATCTGATTGCATTTTGCTACAGATCATTATGGAGAATGAGAGGCGGGAGGGGATGAATATCTAATCAGATCGCCAAAGAAACAATCTAACATATGTTCCTCTATCTATCTATCTATCTATCTATCTATCTATCTGGTTTGTTTGTTTTACATTTAGTGGGGCTTTGCAAAGGCCAAATTTTCCTTTGGCCTTTGTGATACATCGTTTGTGCAACAGACATGAATGACATCTCAAGTTTTATAACTTATTGGAGGATGTGAGACTTATGGTGAAATAAGTGGAAATAAATCTCAGCCTATAGCCTCACCGGAAAAAATGTGCCTCTACCTACAAAACTCAAAAAACCTACTTATGAGTATAGTTGCAGTCTGCAGTTTTTGGCTAAAATGAACAGTAGTGGAAGTAAATCACCAACAACCTTTATTCTGTTTCCAGGTAAATTATGATTACAGAAACAGATTAATAAATACTTATTTCTGTGTGGTTCCTTGCACAACACTATGTTATGACCTCAAAACATGTTTAACAGTGCATGATGTGTAAACAAATACATTTTGATGTTTGTATCACATAACCAGCTCCATATGTATGGCTTTTCTGATGTAGTAAACTTGCTCAGTAGCTCACCCGGTACAGCACTACAGTTGTAATGCGGAGCACTCGCATAGCCCCATGAAATACAATTTATGATAAAAATACATACATACAATAGATACATACAATAACCTACGTAATAAAACTGCCAGATTCACGTTCGCATCTTTTAAATAAAACTTAACATGCTTTTAGCACCATTACCTCGACATTTCACTTTGAAAGTGTTGCGAAATGTGCAAGAAGCAACATAGTATCATTTTGCATGTAATATCCTTTTTCCTCAATGAGCCTGAGTTGAAAAATCTCTTAGAAGTGCACTGAAAGAGGGGTGCAAGTAGCTCTTTTGACTTTGGTCTGTAAGCTAGGGAGACGTCTTTAAAAGAGCTTAGCAACCACCAGAATGTTCTGGAAACCATGTAGAACACCTTGGCAAGAGAATAGAAAACACTGGGAAAGATGTCAGGCCAACTTCAACAGCATGGTAGATGGGTTTTGCACAAGAAAGCACTTCTTAAGCTCTTCTGGAAAACAAAAAAAAAACGTTATTTAATATAAACAGCTAAGACAGAGGGAACAAAGCCCCTAGATCAAACCTCAGTAGAGCCTTGTAGAGAAGTGTGAAGTGTTTGCAGGGAAACAGGTGAGAGCCAAACACGCTGTGAGAGCCTTACGGCACAGCACAAACAGTCCGCCTGCCACCTTCATTTCTACCCTCGCAGCCAACTGGTTTGTCTGCTGTCACTTGCTCGGTAAATCGCTCTTGCTAGTAGATTTCACACCCAGATAGAAGCAGCTCTAATTGGTAGCGTGTGGACCACAAAAGAAGATGACACCTTTGAACATTTGCTCTTACAACTCTGCAAACCTTTTGTTTGCCACTTTTTAATTGAATTAGAGAGCCTGCTAAGGTTGTCCCATACGTCTTGATGATAAAAGCTAGCATGTGGAATCCGCTATGAAAACATCGGTTGCAAATGATCACCATTTTTCCAAGTGAGTATTTTACCAGTTTCCATTTGGAGTTGATGTTTCTTTGTTGTGACAGGTAAAAGGTGATAGAATGGACAGGTTCGCTGGTGAAGCTCACTTCTTCTTTCATTGCAA